GATGTGTTGGGTGAATTGACTGAAGCTCCCTGCACGGGTACAGCAGGTGGGGAAAGTAGCTTTTTGCGTACAATTTCCCGAGGCAGCAAGAATACACCCAATATTTCACGTTCCCCAACTAAAGAAGGCTGTGGGTGAGAGGAGGGTTGAGAAGGAACTTCCAGCTGAATTACAAGCCTACCGACCCATGTTTTGGCCGGTAAGGATTTTTGACAGAAGGACAAGGCAGCTGGAATAAGAAGAAATACCTCAGGTGTTGTTGGATTGGCAAGAAGGGGACAAGAGGGCGGCCACCGTGGGAAGACGGGGCGACTAAAAAAGAGCAGTTTCCGGTATTCAACCTTGGGGACAAGGTTGTTTGGGGAAGGGGAGTAATGTTAGGGAACTAATTGTATATAGTAGAAGGAGAAACGTTACCCAGCCTAACTGCCAAGGCAGTTAGGAAAGTCAGTATAAAAGGGGTGGGTTGGTTGGTGAGAGTACAGTTTTGGAGTATTATTGTTTTGCGGGAACTCTTGTAGTTCTTTGGAGGGAGGTTAAGCTCTCGGTCACACAGTGTATTTTGTATTCTTGATTCTTTGGTAATACAAGGAGGTTATTCAGTGTTGAGTGGGTGTTTGACGTGGGTGATACTGGGTTTCTATAGGTTCTTGATTAAAAGAACCTATCATGTTGACATTTAATAAAGACTTCCAATTCACTAGTTGTAGTAGTGCGGATGTCCAACAATGCCTCTGGATACACTTCTAAAATTAGATCTTCAGTAAGCATAGAAGGAAGAGGTTGAACTGAAGTGGTTGGTGGCACAACACGCTTGAGGAGGGACACACAAAAGACCAGATGGATTCTCCTGTGAGTAGGGAGATCTAGTTTAGCTACAACCCCTATGCGTTCCTTGACTGTGTAAGGACCATAACATACTGTTTCCCTTGACTGTGTAAGGACCATAAAATACTGTTTCCCTTGGAACCTTCTATGATCCTCATTGTCCGGTTCTTGCACTAGTTTTTTCCAGGCCATCCAATCTTTATTCCATTCTTGTATTCACCATGCCCCAACAACCACCATAGCACCAAGAAAGAGGCCCTGAATACCAATTGATAGGTACCCAGATTTTATTAACACTGTAAAGAACTCCAAGACAGGTTCTTGGATGATCTCTTAGGAAAACCAGAAAGTTTGGTCTGTGTCTAATGACTGAGAACACACAATAAAAGCCTAGGTCTTTTAAGAGGACTTGTCTCTCTCTCTTCCCTACACTTACAATCTTCTCAAAAACTGCTAAAAACAACCCGTATACAGACTATATATAGGAGTCTGTTTACAACGACCCACCCCACAGACAATTATTACTGCATGTTATCCTTACTGCATGTTATCCTTATTCATCCTAACATAGACTTTCCCCGTGAACCTATCATATAAGAACAATGATTTTTAGTCCAAGTCTCTTTAAACAAGAAATTATAAGTTCGGAGTGCAATTTCAAATTGCAATTCCATGCTCAATCAATCTCACACAAGGTCTTTTTTACTAATGGCTTTCAAAAGAGTGTATTACATCTAATTAAAACTGTAACATGGTTTATATTTTACAATATTGTTACCCTTTCTACTATTCATGGGTTGCATCATTCAGTGGCTTAATGAAAAGGTTTGATGATACTAGTAGAAATTGGTCAAACTAGGATTTAGTAGGCCCAGGCATGTTTTCCGTCAACTCTGACCTATCAAAAGCCATTTTTAATGATTTGACCTGAGTAACATAAAAAGCCTAACCCATCTTCCTCATTGATTTTTGGGGGATGTTGTCCTAAGAACATGTTATCTCTTTAATTTGATTCCATCATTCGTTCTTAATCATCAGGTACTCCACTTTGTCCTTCGTCATTCCCCTCTATATGATCTTTGTCCACATGTTTCATCAAACCTAGTCAAGATAAACTTCTTCCTTGGTCGCTCAAATTTGTGACTCTTCCATGACTTAGGATGCTTTTGCCAACATCATTTCAAGTAATGAATGTTGCCCAATACCTATTGACATTCTATTGGTTGTCCCATCTTCAACAAATAATGTTGTGGAGGCCATGTTTAATCCTTTCTTGACGTTATTTCCCCTATCAATTAAAGTCTTCTCTAGAAATGATTGGCCTATTGTTATGTTAAATAACTATGTTCTATACCCACAACCTTTCTCTCCATTATACTAACCTCATTTATAATTGACTTTCCACTATACATATATTATACTTGTTTGTCCATGTTATCGTCTGTTTCTATTCCTAATTCTCCAAGGGAAACTTTATCTTACCATGTGTCCACAAGTGATGATGGATGAGATGTGTACATGGGAGTGATTGTCTTTTAGTTGGCAAATTAATTGTTAGGTGTTAGTTGTTATACACTCTTAATATAGGTTTTGATGGTAACATTGATCACTATAATGTTTGTCTAGTTGGCAAAGAATACAATCAAATCTAAGGACAACATTATATTGACTCTTTTTTTTCTTATTACTAAAATGACATCTAGCCATCTTTTCCTTTACAATAGTTTGTCACTGGACTTTGTTTCAATTTGACTTCAAGAATGCATTTCTACATATTGATGAGGAAATCTTTACAGAGCAACCTCCTACATTTGCTACTTAGGTAGAGTATTCTAGTATGGTATGCTGTCTTTGTAGGTCCTTGTATGGCCTTAAGTTATGATGCATGGATATGATTCGTGTATCGATACACTAATATGCTAATTGTGAAAATAATAGGATACAATACGTTATATATGCATATCGAAAAAAGTACAAAATTTCTTATAAACATGATAAATATATGATTGTTATTGTGTGAATCCAAATTCAAATCATATGTATTAAAGATTCTCAAAATAAAAAATTGTAAAGTATTGTCGTCATAAAAGTATTACTTCATATATTAGATATTTCATTGATAAGTATCGGTAAAATATTTAAATATTTTAAAGTATCGGATATGAATACATGTTAGACACAGATATGTGATACAAATTGAAGTATTTGTACATCATAGGCCTTAAGTAATTACTCCTTAGTTTGAGTGTTTTCAGGCTGTCATCAAACAATTTGGAATGACACTAAGTGATGGTGAACATTCTTTGCTTTACCATCATTCTCCCTAAGGATGTATCTATCTCATTGTATAAGTGAATGAAATGGTTATCGCTAATGGTGATAAGAAGGGTATTGTCCCACTAAAACAATATCTTTCCCAAAAGTTTCAATCAAAAGACCTTGAACAGTTGAGATATTTCCTTGGTATTGAATTTGCACAGTCCAAGAATGGTTGTTTGGTCATATCTCAGAAAATATTCTTTAGATATTCTAGAAGAATCATGGATGTTACAAGTTGCCCTTAATCATTTCTTTCATGAGAGGACCAAACATATTGGGGTAGATTCTTATTTCATAAGAGAAAAGTTGGACTATGGAGGCATCACCTTTAAGGTAGATTGTCAACTCTAGTTAAGAGTTGATCGACATATTCACCAACTTAAGGGAGTCTAATTATATTGATTCTGGTTTCTCAATGTAAATAAAACATCCTTGCTAACTCAAAAATATATGGTTTCAGCTCAATGTCTCCCTATTTATAGTTTAGCAAGGTCATTTCAATATAGCCTTTACCCTTGCATGCAAAGAGGCTGTTTCCAAATTCAAACCCATGACCATTAGATCACCAAGGCACAATTTTTAGGATGCACTAGGGCTCACCATCTGGTTCATTTCTATAGAGAAGTCAAAATATCTTTTTACTGGCCTGATGAATAAATTTTATGATTAGAGTTTGTTCAAAACAAATGATTCAGTTAATGATGATTGATTTGCTCATGCCCAATTAAAGTAGAGCTTTCTTGGTGTTTGCAGTATTATTTTCCAATTACAGTATAACATATGGTTAAACCTCCGCAATGGAAATACAAAAAGGAAGAATGTGACAACTGAAAAATTAATACATGTTATGCAATTGGAAAAAAACACCCCAAGCGCATAGAGAACTTAATATATATATTTTGGTCTAGGGCTGTGGGGTGTACTATGGGTTTGAACCCTCTCCTTGTGTGTTTTACCATTCTAGGAAAAGGTTAATCTCGAGGGGCTAACTTTCATTTTTTAGTTTGCCACATAAATAATGTAAGTAGTTTTTCAGAAAGATCTTTCAAGCATTGGATCCCTGAATTTTTAAGATTCTATTGTTCTAGTTGACTTGTTATATATGCATTGTTCAGTCTTTGGATTTTATTTTATCTTGGGATTTCATAATCAATATACTGTTTTGTTTTGTATATTTTCATATCATTTGTTGTTATATATATCATTCAAGTACTACTATCCTATGCCTTGAATGATTGGGATTCTGGGAAAAGTATTATTGTCAGATCCAATGTTTTTAAAACTGAAATGGACATTGAAGCAGTGAAAGTATTCACGGTTCATTAGTTTAATGGTGACTGATCAAGGGTAGAATTCGTAATAATAAAACCTTATAATATATATCAAGGAAGAAAACTCAAGTAAAATTTTTAAGTTAGCATAAAGAAATCATATCACGTCTTATAAGATTAAAAAGTCGTAATAAATCTTTATTAATAGCAATCCATGTGTAGATATCATATACGAACATTTATTTTAAAATATCTAAGAATAAAATGTTTATTAATTAATAAGAAAATTTTCAAACTGTTTTCCGAAAATCTTCCTATCCTGCTTCTACTGGTTTCGCTGGTTCTTCATGAGTTTGATTGGCTTTCTGCTGCATCTGTTTTCTGGGTGTCTTGACTTGTTATTGAACTGGCTGTTGTGGTCCATTTTTAGTAACTGAAGGTACAAGTAGTTTATATTTTATTTAGTGAAATGACTGAAATGTTTGTTCCTTGCATCGAATATTAATTTTGGGAAGGCAATTTAGGACTCGGACCCTTTGCATTTTTTTTTATTTAATTCAATTTACAAAGCCATTTCTGTAGGTTTTACAAAAGGCTTTGGAAGTGTGGGACCTACAAGTTATCCCTCTTAACTCTCCAGTTGCTGAGCCTGCCCAGATTGACCCTGAGCTGGAAAATGCCTTCATTTGTCATCTACAAGACCATTGGTTTTGTATCCGCAAAGTGAATGGGGAGTGGTATAATTTTGACAGTCTCTATGCAGCCCCACAACACCTTTCCAAGTTTTACCTTTCTGCCTATCTTGACTCTCTGAAAGGCTTTGGGTGGAGCATATTCCTAGTTAGGGGAAATTTTCCAAAAGAATTCCCCATCTCCTCATCTGAAGCGTCTAATGGTTTTGGTCAGTGGCTTTCACCTGAAGATGCTGAGAGGATAACTAAATCTTGCAACTCAGTACAGGCTCCGCAGCAGAGAGTTAATGAGAGCCAACAACACTATGATCAGTTTCTTTCTCACGGGGAAACTGAAATGTTATTAGACATGGAAGATGAGGAACTAAGGGCTGCAATTGCAGCTAGTCTGATGGATTCGTCCCCAATTGTGACCACTGCTGAAGCCAGTACTCCCCAAAATGATCATCATAGTAGTAAACAGGTGGCCACTACTGAACCTACCCCTCTAAATGATCAAAATTCCGAACAAGCAGTAACTACTGAAGCTATCGCTCTAAATGGGAAACAATCCAAACTAGTGGAGCCCATTGAACCTATTCTACCTCTCAACTCTCAAAGCAGCAAACTCATAGCAGCCATTGAAGCTGATTCTCAGAATGATCAAAACAGCAAAGAAGTGGCATCCACTATAGGCGATAACGCTCAAGATGAAAACGAGAATAAAGAGAAAGCTGTCTAAGAGTGTGCTTAATTTGGCCCGAATTTGTTTTTGCAATTGAGGACAATATTCTATTATACCAGTTTTAGGTGGTCGAAACATACCTCAGTGACTTAAAGTCATGGTGCTGTGCAGTATACACATTCTCATTTCAATTGCATGATGTATAAACTGTAAGGAAACCCTTCAGCCTTTCCATCGATAATATGATAGTTACCAAGTTTTGATAATGTTTTGGAAAGCACTTCACTTTTTTTCGTGTGATTGTGATTATGATTGATACTAGTTTTGACCATCATGCGTGTTGGTACTAGTATAATAAAGTTGCTTGGGCGATAACGGGAACTCTTCAACGATTGAATGGGACCTTTCCCCAATTTGATACTATTATTAGGCTCTAGATTTATGGTTACTTCGATACTACAGACATGACCAACAGAAATTGTCTGGTTTTCCCAGGATAAAAAAATATTTAAATGTTATTAATTTCCTTAAGTCGGATGTCTTCAAACTATAATAGTGTATGGTTTATGACAATGCCTACGAGAACATTTATCTTGTTTGTGTATGCGCATTGTCACTTTTGATATTGTTTTTCTAGGTTTCATAGTTTATGGCAGAATTTGAACTTCTTGATCCACACACATCTCATGATATAATAAATAAGAATGTACGGAGTTTAAGAGGACAACTTATTGTAGAAGATCTTAATGCAAAAGTGTTCAAAAACATGATCTCACTGCAATTTTGTTTAAATTGATTTTGATAGAGAATGTACTTTTTTTTTCTTGGGAAAAGAGAGAAGTTTGAGAAAAAGAAAGACATTGTGGGATCCATGTTAAAAGAACTTTGTAGAAGTAATGAGATTTATAATGAAGTCCAAAGATTTTGTGGCACTCATTTTAAAAGTTGGAACGTGTATCCTTTTCCTTATTAGTTAAATGTTTTAAAGGGTAAATACACACAAAGTGCTATAATTTTTTTTATGGATTAAATATATTTTTAATTTTTAAATTTTGATGTATCATTGGAATTGGTTCTTAGTATGAAATATTATTTACTTTGTACAAAAATTAATTGATTTGAATTAAGAAAATTATGTTTATTCATTTTTCAAATGAGATAAAAATAAATTCTAATTTTGTGTCCGGTTTAAAGATTATAAATATATTTAATTTTTTTATTCAAAATAAATAAATATATAAGTATTGATATATTTTTAGTATAATAAAAAGTTACATTATTAGTACAACTTTAATATTTACATTTTTTTTAACTTTGTTAATGATTAATGTTATTATGCTTATGTTTGGTCTTTAGTATTATCACATGTTTATCAAAGAAAAGAACTACTGAGTATTTATATTTATAAAGCCAAAAATAAAGGGTAAGAAAGGTTTCATTCAAGTTTAACTGTATGCTAATAACATTGATTCTTATTTTAATAAACACACATAACAATTGTTAAAGAATAAATACATGTTTAGTTGTCTAAACATTAGCAAAGTTCAAATAAAATTAAAAAAAATAAAAAGAAATTGTGTTCTAAAACCAAAATATGTCTATCTAAACCAATCATTTACCCAACAAATTATTATATTTCTCGAATTTTATAAATAACATTTAAAAAGAAGAAATGGAAAAGTATTTCCTTACAAGAGAATCAAGAACTTGCCCACTCCTCCTTTCTATTTTTTTTTTAATTTTATCTAACTGCTATTTTCAAAGTTCAAAATAACATTAATCACTTTTTATTATTTGCAATTTTGTACTTTACCTAGTATTTAATTGTTGACTTTTAAAAAAAACTTTATACGACATTTTAGAAAGAAAAGAAAAAAGTATTTACTTACATAAAGAATGAAAGAACTAACTAAATACTTAACTATCTTTTATAACAAAAGTATCGGTCTAAATAAGATTCTAAAACAGGAAAAACACCCTTCAACCAAAAGAGATACATTTTTCAAAGGGAAGAATAATTATAAAAAAAATATAAAAATTAAGTTTTTTCATAATTTGATGTTTCATATTTAAGAATTAAGAAATCTGCTTACATTTTTTTATTAGTTTTTGGAATAAAAAACCAATGAATTATATCATAGAAAAATCGAATAGTTTGAATTTGATATGTTATTTTGATTTTTTTTCCGTTTATTTATTTTTGAAGAAATATCACTTGATTTAGTCAACAAGTAAATGAAATATCATTTGAATGAATAAGATTAAAGTATCAGGCTATTATATTATATTCTAGCGACTAAAATTTTATTCCATGCCTAAATAATTGCTTTCCGCACTTCAATAATTCTTACGTGCACTTCATAACTTTTAAAATACCCGTCTTATCCTTGCTATTTTATTTGAAAGTTAGTTTCTTGTTGGTTTGTTACGTTGTTATTTTATTTTTTTCATTATGATTCGAACTGCAACTATTCTGGTCGAGTTTTGGTAGTGATAGTAGTGATTTGAGGTTCTGTAGGCTCGAGTATATGGACAAGATATGAATGGATACATTGAAGTTTGCATTTGTCGTTTTTTTATTTTTAAAGAGGTTTTTGAAACTCACATTTTTTAAAGATATTTTTTTTTCCAAAACGTTTTCTTTGTCAGATTGGTGTATCCAAAGCTTATTTTTAATTTTTGGAAGGTATTTTTTTTTTCATTTCAATAATCAGTATTAGAGCTCTGTTCTTAATCAATTTTTAAAATGGATTATGAAACAAGTTTTTCTTAAATAACTCTTTCATCTTATAATGAAAAAAATTATGATCTTCTAGATGTAAAAATGGAAGTCTATATGTAGTATATCTCGATGCAGTAATCCCTAGAGGAAATAGGGCCGAACGGTCGACTAAGGAGGAGGGGTTTATAAAGATGCAGGACGGTCGACTAAGACAGAGGGGTTCAGGAAGATGTGGTTGGGTGATCATTGTTAAACGTTAAAGATCAATTAATGTTACCAGAAACGGAACGTATGACTTTAATGATCAGATAATAAGCAATAGGAAAGAAAATATATGACATTGATATGATATTAATTAGTAGTTAATGGTTGTTACAATGATTCAGGTCTATAAGTAAAAGATTTAAGTCCAGGTAAAGGGACCTTTTTTCTTGAATAATCTTACCTTAATTTCCTGGAAAACTATTTTGACTTGAGCGTTGGAGTGTTTCTTGCAGGGGACAACCGATCGGTATCTTGAAAGGAGCTTTGAGAAGTGGAAGATCGTACCAGCAGTACCAGGAAGCTGGAGGAACCGCAGTCTCGGACCTAGAAACCTAAACACTATCTAAAGAGGTATTCTAAAGGTGTTACATCTTTTGGAAGTTGTAGAAGAGGATTATGAAGTTCTTTCTATGCGAGATAATCACACAATGGCCTAGATCAAGAATTCTAAGAAGAGAAAAACCAGAAAAGCAAAGGTAAAGTCATGATTTTTATTGGTGTCTCTACAATCACTTTTACTAGGATCACCACTCTTAAATCGACAAAAAACAATTTGAAATTATTTTAAACATGAAATATGCAAGAGATGAAAGAATTTGTAGCATGTAGGTACTTAATTTAATGATGGAATTTGAGCTTTAAAGCATGAAAAGAGTCCACAATCGAAGAATACTTAGACAAATTGTTGATTGTTGCCAATAAAATAAAGTTGTTAAACAATGACTTTTGTAAATTCTAAAGTTGTTGAGAAAATTTTGACAATAATGTCAAAGAGGTACGAAACATCAATTACTTCTTTGAAGATTGCAAAGGGTTTGTCTAAAATCAATTTTTGTAGAATTGATATATGTCTTCCAAGCCCAAGAATAATGAAAGTTGATGAGGGAAGATCTTGCTATTGAAGATGCTCTTCTAGCCAATAACCAACAATAAAAATACTACATGAAGAATCATTCAGCTAACAATCAGAGTAGTGTAAATAATTACAATAAATGAAAGACTGAAAAGAAAAGTTATCCACCTTGCCATTATTATGGCAAAATGGGTTACCCTCAATTTAGATGTTGGAAAATACTTGATGATAAATGCATTAAGTGCAATGAGACATGAAGCTATCATATGTGAGAAAAACTGTTTACAACAAGAGGAAGATGCTATGGTTGTTGATCAAGGAGGAATAAACTATTTGCAACCACATGGTTGGAAAGCGTGATAGGAGTGAGAGTTGCTTGATCGATAATGGTTGCATAAATCGTATGATCAAGGACAATGAATTTTTCAGATTTAAAGCCAACCAAGATCTCTAAAGTTTGAATAGGCAACGATGATTATATTTCGGTAAAGAAAAGCAGACTATTGCAATTAGTAGCTACTCATGTACAAAGATAATTTTTTATATCCCTTTTGTACCTAAAATTTAACAAAATTTGTTGAGTATAGTGATGAATATAGTGATGATGGAGCATTAGAGGAATACTAGGTTGATAGCAATGGTATCAGATGGTGTGGTTAACATAGGTGTTGTTGAAGGAATAGACTGTTGGTCTAGGCGTGTGATGTTCATGATGACATTGAGGATTGAGGATCGATGATCGAGAATGGAATATTGAGGCTCAAGAAGCGAGTAATCAAATATGATTGATTTGTTGTGTTTAGAGAACTAGGAATCATGTTGTTATTACTTATATGTATGTGGTGTTTGATTATAGTTGATATAATCAGTAGGTATGCATCTTGTTGTGTGTTTGATTATGGTTGATATAATAAGTATGTATGTATCTTGTTGTGTATTTGATTATGGTTGATATAATCAGAATGTATGTATCTTGTTATTATGATTGTGTTATCGGTAGCTTACCCTATACGTGTTTGTGTTTGTGTTTGTGATGAATATTATCGGCCATGATCGTATAATGTGTTATACATGAGCAAATGATATTGTAGATGCTTCAGAAGAATGATAGATACGTGAGGTGATGGGGACAAATTTGAGTTTTCTTTAAAAGTTCTTTTGGTTTTAGACTTTTAAGACAACGTAGTTTGAAGTTAATTCTATTCATTGGTTATTTAAATTATTTTCGAATAATGTAGTTTGAATCTTGCTTTTGGAATAAATGCACTTTAATTTATTTTTCGCAAGTTTTAAATATTGAGGTTTTTGAAAAAGAAAACATGTTTCCATGCTAAAAGAATGTTTTTAAATATTCAGTTTTTGTAAACCCATGACATCCTAGAAATCAGGGTGTTACAATTTGTACTCATCGAAAGACGAAAAGAAAA